AGTTTCTTGATTATTAACTTCTTGACACTGCTTTTGCAAGTTTTAGAGCCTTCTTTCGATTTTGTCTTCGTACTATAGTAGCTCTTGACCTGTAGATCGTGTTTGCATACAAAATTCACTAGTACTTGCAAAAGAAATTAAAACAGAAAACTAAATAAGTTTAAAATAAGATCAAATTGATTGAAATTAATATTAAAATAATTACTAGAATAGATCCCTGGCATCGGCGCCAAAAACTTATTGTCCAAATTTGATATTAATAATTTACGTGCAAGTATACACGATCAATAAGTAATAAAGTGATAAGTAGAGTATCTTTCCCACGGAGAATTTTTATATCAAAGTACTAACTTTGTATCAATTCAATTTTATTTAAACAATTGAAATTAGACTACGGAATTACTAATTTAAAATTAAATCTAAACATAATAATTAAGGGTTAAATTTACCGAATAGAAGAAGTTAAGATTACAACTTCCCCTAATGCTTCTTATAAACCTTTCTAACTCTCTTTCTAGCTAATTGATCAAAACAAGTTATTAACTAAGAACTCAAAGTTATTTATCAAATCTCTTTCGATAGTTAGATAAAAATATCTATCCCAACTAAATTACTATATTTCTATGTAAAATAATTTGGAATAGATTTATTAAGTTCAAAGTCTCATAATAGTTACACACGATATATCGGTATATTCCTATCCTATACACAAACCTAGCAATTTAATTCTAAGAAGAATTAACTAGACGCATGTCATCATATTCAGATCCAAACCTAGAATTCATCTTTCAATTTCATTTAGGTTATCAAATTAATTGTTGGCCACACAATCATATATTAAGCACAAAATATGACAAACAACTCATGTATGATTAATAAAACTAGAAACGAGAGTAGATAAATTTAACTAAACATTAGGTTCTATTGCAATCTTAATAAGAATTTAGTTCATAATATAATTGAAAAATATCATTCTCAAATTAAACAACATCTTAGAAAATTAAGAAGTAAAAGTAAGAGAAAAGAATGAAAACTAAGTTGCAATCTTCAATCCTTCTCTAGCTTTCAAGTTCAATCTTCTTCATGTCGCTTCCTTTGATCCTTGTCTTCAATTTTCTTTTAATCCTTGGTCTTTTCTAATGTTACAGCCCCCAAAATCAGTATATCTCTCTCCAACTCAAACCCTAGCATATATATCCCTTAGAGTTTAATTTTGGGTCAAAAATAAGTCAAAATTCATGTCGAGAGCCAACACAAGCACCTAGGCGCTGGAAAGGCGCTACATGGACAGAATATGGGCACCTAGGCGCTAGGCGCTGTCCACTTTTAAGCCTAAAGCTTCCCTTGTTACTTAGCCTTCAAAAATCCAACACTTAGGCTCCAAATTGACCTTTTTTCCTTCCAAATGATCTTGTTTGCTTCCAAATGATGATTCCTACCAAATAACATCAAAACACACAAAATAAATAAAAAGGAACATAAAATAATTGAAAACTTATAAATTCATCAAGCCGAAAGTACTCAATTCGTAGGTACAAAATCCACTCATTCAGAACTTTTAAAGTTGAATTTAGACAATAGTTTTTAACTTATTTTGTAAATACTTTCTTTTTTATGTGTTGTCATTTATGTAGAATTTGATTTCATTTTAATTTTGGTAGTGGTGAAACTCAATTGTCTTTAAATTGCAAGATTGTTGGTTATTTTGTTTTGTCATCTAATTTGTATAGTATATGTTTGGCTACCAATAACAAATATGGTTATTCAAATATTGTTAATATTGTATCCAAAAGAACTCTAATTAAAGAAAAATCTTTACAGTTGTGGCATAAATGTTTGGGTCACATTTCTAGAGAAATAGTGAAACGATTAATAAAGAATGATATTCTTCTTTCACTTGATTTCAAAGACCTTGAAACTTGCGTTAACTGCATTAGGGGTAAATTGACCAAGACCAAGAAGAAAACGACAACTTGCAGTTTAGATATTTTACAAATCATTCACACTGACTTTAGTGGACTTTACTCACGTACTTTGTGTGGTAATAAATAATTTATTGCATTTATTGATAGTTTCTCTCGTTATAGATATATTTATTTAATTAATAAAAAAATTGATGCTCTTGGAAAGCTTAAAATTTTTAAGATTGAGGTATATAAACAATTAGGAAAAGTCATCAAAATTGTTAGGTCTGATCGTGATGGTGAATATTATGAAAAAAATGATGTATCTTAGCAACATTTATAACCATTTGTCAAGTACTTGCAAGAATGTAGGATTGTTGCCCAATATACCTTGTATGGTAGTCCCGAGCAGAATGGTGTTGTTTAAAAGTGTAACCACACCCTTAAAAACATGATGAGGAACATGATGACTAAGTGCAATTTACCTAATTACCTTTGGGGAGAAACATTAAAACAACTTTGTACATTCTTAATAGAGTTCCTAACAAATTTCTTTCAAACATATGTTTAGAATTGTGGCCCAATAAGAAACCAAATCTTAACTATTTTCGTGTTTAGGGTTGTCTTACTGATATCAAAATCAATAACCCTTTTATGAAAAAGACATTGCCTTTGCAGTTAGTGTTCTTGGTAGGTTTCTTTCTAAACTAAGATTAGATCATTAGGTGGTAGCTAAAAAGTTATGAGATACTTGCAAAAGACAATGAATTACATGCTTGTTTATAGGACGGTTGATAGTCTTGAGGTGATTGGTTACTTAAATTCATATTTTGTTGGTTTTTCGGATGATTTAAATCCACTTCAAGATATATTTTCATGTTAGCTGGAGGAGTATTAGTATGGAAGAGTGTTAAATAAACTCTCACAACTTCTTTCATTATGCTAGCTGAATTTACAGCTTGTTATGGAGCTGCAAACACAAGCTATATGGCTAAATAATTTTATTTTAGGGCTTATAATTGTTGATTCCATCTCTAGGCCACTAACAATTTATGGTTATAATATTGCAGTTGTGTTCTTTTCAAAGAATAACAAAAAATTTAGTGGGTCTAAGCATATAGACATTAAATATCTTTTTGTCAGGTACTTAGTAAAGAAAGGTGACACTGTGATTGAACATATAGATACATAATGAATGCTTAATGATCCTTTAACCAAAGGACTAAGACCTATAACTTTTAATAAACATGTTGACAACATGGACATTTTGGGGTCTTTTGATGTACTTGGTTAGTGAGAGTTTATTTATTTATTAAAAACTTCCATATTGATTTAATTTCATATGTGATATTTGTAATGTATTATGGTTGAGATGCATCTATTTGATGAATAATAAATATTTGAATAATCATCCTTATTGTTAGCACGATATTCTTGCTATATTTTATATGTGCACATTTATGCATGTAATTTTATAAAAAAATCTTAAGACTTGGTGTATGTCATAAGTATGACTTTTTTGTTAATGGAGTATGTCTTTGATTACAACATTTGAGAAAATTTTGAGATTTTAAGTTTGGAGACATACTAGCTTATTGCTGAAACTAATGGATTTCTCTAACTTATTGTTGAAACATGTTGTTAAAGAGAAATTATCAGGAAGACTGACAATAAAAAAATATATTTATCAGATCACATATTCAGATACTATTTTCTTTTTACGATACTATATCTTGGTCCATGTCAACAGGATTATTATTTTTTGTAATCATGAATTGGTCATATGTCAAAAAAGGATGTAAAGGTCGCTATGGTTTGAAAAAAGTAGTTTTATTGGCGGGTTGTGTTCAAGATGTTGTCTCAAGACTCTATTTGTTTTATTTTGTGGCCACATTAAGTTTTTGTTTGATTAGCTTGAGAGTTCATCTTTTAGCAAATAATTTTATTTTATTTTTTAAATGACTACAATTAATGTTGCCCAAGTGAAAAAATGTTGGAATTTTTTTGTATTGGACTTCCATTAATTGATAGTTAATTTTGAGTTTATGAAAAATGGGCTGAATTTATGGTCCAATGCGATGAACCCAATATTGTTAAGTGATCTATTTTGATGGGCTTATGTACACCTTTTTAATTGATGTGGTTGTGGCAGTTAGTGTAGACTTTAATCTAATTGTAGCCCATAACAAGAGAGCCTATTAGATTCATTATAAATAGCAGGCTAGGTCCCCTCTCCACTTCATAACCTAATTTGGCTTGTCCCATTAAGAGCTGCATATTGCTTTGAAAAAGGAAAGGAAGACCTTGCCCTTCCATGAAAGAAACTCGAAGATAGATTATCATGGCTCACACAGGCGTGGTCTAAACCTATATGATCTAAATCTTGTAATTTAGGTATTTTAAATTTCATATACGAATCATTAAAAATCTTACACCACAAACATGTGGCCAGACTCCAAATGGATGCATAGTAGGAGTTAAGACTTGTTTAAAGGATGTCTATAACGGCCTGAAAACCTAAAAGGAGCTTGTAAAGGTACGAAATCACATTTGTGGTTTGAAGCATCAATATTTAACAAGCTTATCCCTTGTCTTAACACTAAAGATTGAGCTTGACAAAGCTCATCTAAAGGTTGGTAAATTAATGCAAGAACAAGGTTCTAACCATAAAGAGATCAATTTCCTATTGAAGCAATTTGCAGAAGAAAAGGTAGCTTGGAAAATTAAAGAACAGGATCAAATTCACAATGCCCTTATGTCCATAAGAGAAAGCTTGACATTGAGAACAAACTATGAGATGGAACAAGAAGCTTGGTAAGGAATTAGAAAATACTAAGGCATCCCCATCAAAGGCAGTCAAAGACTTGGAGAGCGAGAAATAGGCAAGAGAGATATTGGTGCAAGTTTGTGACGGGTTAGCCAGAGGTATTGGAGAAGACAAATCCGAGGTGGAAGAACTAAAGAAATAATCTACTAAATTTTGTTAAGAGGTATAAAAAGAAAGGGAAATTCTTCAACTAGCTAATCTGTTAAGCGAGGAAAGAGTCCAAATGAAGCTTTCAAGAGCCAAGTATTAATTTGAGGAGAAAAATGAAGTTGTGGACAAGCTTGGAAGTGAGCTTCAGTCCTACTTTAGAACCAAAGTAGGAGAAGAAAAAGGTGATGGCTCTCCAAACTATGAAAAAATCAAAGAGGTTGAAGAGTATTTAAAGAGAACAATTTTAGGGCCATGTCAAAATAGGGAGATAAAGAAGGATGAAGAGGAAGAAGTAAATGAAGAGGAGTGTGGAGGAGATGATTCAATTGATAGTGATCTTCAATCCATTGAACTAAATATGGGCAATAGTAGCAAGAGCTATGAATGGAGTAATTCGTGTGGAGGAATTGCTCAAAATGATCCAAAGATGATTCCACTTGATGATAAAATCAAGAGGAGGAAATCTATTTTGGAGAAAAATCAGCACAGAGGTGTTTCTAATGATCCACAAAGTTGTTTATGCATGATTAAATCAGTCGAGTGTGTGGTGTAAAATAATTAATGAAGCAATTAATAATAAGAGGTGAAGAATAGGTGGTTGGGTTTGGGTGATCTAACCACTGAAGTCGGCAACGGTGGCAGAAAAACTCTGTTTAATGAAAGAGTACAAGGTGGTAGTAAGAGAAAGGGAGAGAGGGTGAGAGAGTAAGAGTATGCTCAAGGTGAGGTGTGTGTCCCCAGATTTGTGTAAGGGGTTTACCATTTATAAGTGCAGAGCCCTAGTTGAGGTGGTGACGTGAGGGTCAAATGCTAGTTTATCGGGGAGGCTAGCTACATTTGAGGATGGTTACTATCTTGGAGTAATGACTATCCCGATGATTGCTTTTCCTTGTATGTTGACCCTTGAACTTCAGACCAAACTAAAGTCGAGGGCTAAGCCTGGCTTGCCTTTGATGGTTTGGGCTCAACCTATGAACTACGCCCTGGCCTAGTCTAGATCTGGGCTTGTCATTTGCCCCCATGCCTTAAGCCCTAGTAGTGATACAATGGTTGAGGAAACGACTGAACTCTTTCATTTGGGTAGACCAAGGTGTCTTGTTCCACATGGTGGCTTTTTCTCTTCAACTTTCCCCTCTAATGCATTTTTGAAGCTTATTTCTCCATTTGATAGCACTATTGCGGGACACCAAACTTTCATTGGTCTGATGTGAAAAGCTCTGTTCCTTTATTGCAAAAATTTCCTTTTCCTTTTATGACAACAAAAGCTAAGTGATCCAGAGGGTTATATATATATATAGACTTGAGGGGGAGCTTCCCATATTCATTCATTTTCCTTTAAAATCTTGATTGCAACTTGGGTAGTGCCTTCCCTTTGTTCCACAAGCAGTAGAGAGAGGACCACAAAAAAGAGAGGCTTGGATCCTAATGGGAGGACAACAAAAAAGGACACCATGGGTGACAACATGGGTGAAGCCATGGGTGATGCCAAGTGGCGCCATGGGCATAGCCATGGCAAGTGAAGGAGGCGAGGCCAAGGGGGAGTTTTGTTGACGGAGGGTAGTAGGGCGTTGGAGTGGGCGATGTCGAAGGGCTACTGGGCACTGGCATCAACGAAAGGTAGCAGGGGCACTGGTGTGCTGGTCAATAAGGATGGAGCCCTGAAGGGCCTGGGCTTTTCCAGGGGGATAGAGAGAGAGTGTGTCGCCCTTCGCTCAAGTAAGGCGATTATTTTTCGTTATTTCATTCTTCCATTATTTTGGTATCCTTTTATGGTATTGGCTCTAATTTTGATAGGCAACCAGTCTGCTAAGGGTATGACGATTGTTTTGCACAAATTTCATAGTAGGGCAAGGGAGTTGCTGATAGTGATGGCTTAAAGGTAACCTCCATTTTCAACTCCATTGATAGTGACGATGACAGTAATAGGATCGTATATTCGTTCCATATTTCTCCTGTTGTTTTGTGTTGTCGGTTGGCTGATAAGGACGAGCCGACTTGTTATGATTCCTCTTTGGAGAGTTTTTTATGAGGATGTTTTGGAGGTAGGGTTAAGGTTTCCCATACCAAGACCCATTTGCTAGATTTTGGCTCACTTGTCACTTGCACTAGGGAGGTTGACTTTGAATGGCTGGAGGGTGCTTTTGGCATTCTTTTCATTATATAAATGGTTCATAGTGAGGGTGTCCCTCCCCTTTTGAGGAGTTATTGGCTGTGTATATGATTTTGGAGAATCTTGTTCCCCATCAAGGTTGGTATCGATTTGCTCCAAGGTCAGGAAAGCTGGTCATGGACTGCCCTCTAACTATCAAAGTTGGAAGTCTAGGTTCTTCTTCATCGTAATAGAGTGGGCTATCGAGGAGGACCTTGATTTGGTTCCTGTGAGATGTGATACTCCTTCGAAGAGCAAGATAGGTTTACATTTTGAGACTGCTTTTATGTCTGAGTGTCATACTTCTCTTGTACTTATTGCATGTTTGGCTTCTTTGTAGCTTTGCCTACATTATCGGTGAAGCAGGAGAGTAGGCTCCAGGCTATGAGGGATCATCCTATCATGCATTTTGCAGCCATTATGTTTGGGTCGAGTTGCTCTAGAGTCTCTCCCAAGCAGAAGACAAAAGGTATTTACTTCTTTGGGGGTAAATCTGATGACATCTTTAGTTTTCATAAATTCTTTCTCTTATTTAGACTCCACAGGTTCTCTTGTTGTTCATAGAGTGATAGTGGATGCTCTCTATGCCACTAGGGTGGCTTCTTCCCCTCCTCATAAGAGGGAGAGATCTGATGTCCCAGTGTTTCCTAACCGAGGTCTGTTGGCTATTCTATTTCACATAAGGTGGGGCGTGGTAGTGCCCCCACTTCTTCTAAGCATGTGGGCCCTTTGAGTACTGGAGTTAGACCTAGGACCTCTTTAGGGGTTGAGACTCCTGTGTAGGCTTCTATTGAGACCGGAGCTCCATGTAGCTATATTGCTTCCAACAGTGGCTCGGTGTCTATGTTGTAGGACGTGAACTTAGCTAAGGAGTGGCTTTGGAGGTTTGTGACACTCATGAATATTAGAGATGTCGGCTCTCGGGGTCCTAAGGGTATCATTGATACCACGATGGAGGGATTTGCTATGGTACCCTTCCTTTCTGTTCAACCTTGTTTTCTAGCACCTTTTTTGTCATACTGATGCTTTTGCTTTTGGATATTCGCAAATTGTTGTGACTTTTCTGTGCCTTTTTTTTAAGGAAACTCAAGCTTGGTGAGGTATTGATGGCTTTGGCAGAAGATAGACAGGCGTGGTAGGTTGTTGAGGAGTAGTTGAGGTTGGCTCATGAGAGAGCAGCACCTCTCAAGGCTGAGCTTTCGGCGTCCAAATAGAGAGCCACCAAGATGGAGATTGATAGAGAGACTGCCTACACAAGAATAGAGACAGATTTGTGAGCTACTTGCGAGAGGGTGTAGGAGATGAGGCAGAGCTATAGATAGCTCAAAGAGGGCTTCTATGGCTGAGGCAGAGTTACAGATAGCTCATGAGAGGTTTATCAAGGCAGAGGCTCATCCTTTTGAAATAGAGATGAAGAGGGAGGCTGTAGAGAGGGCCATTTATGATCTGTAGTGCAGTACTATAGATGCTTTTATTAATTGCTATGAGGAGGTTAGGGGGAAGGCCTCAGCGAATTTTCCTAACCATCGACTTTTCTGGTTTCATCCCATATGAGGCACCAGGGACAGGTGGTAATGGAGAGAGCTTCGTTGAGAGTGGATCAGGGAGCAATGAGCGGTCGTCGGGTGTATAACAATTTTTATCTTTTCTTGTCTGTCTTTTTTGTGTCAAATCATGCTTTGAATTTTGTAAGTTGTTTATAAACTTCTATGGAATGAAAAAAGGGATAGTCTAGACAAAATAACTTTTGCAAAATTTTCTTTCATAATTGAAGTGATAGATAATGGAGTAAGTAAGCTGGCTGAACTAACTAATGCCATGACTAATAAGTGATATTCACTGGTTTTCTCTATTGATTCTCTTTTGCTACTAATAGTCCCTCTTCAGGTGTTGGCACTCTGTGTATAGGCTAAGACTTTACCTTTAGAGTTCTGAATTCTATTTGTGCATGGCCTTACAACTTTTGTCACGGTGTAGGGTCCTTCTCAATTTAGGGCCTAGCTTCCTTTCTTGTGAGTCCTTGGTAGATAGGATTACTTTTTTGAGAACTAGGTCTCCTGGCAAGAAGGAGCGAGGGAGTTGTAGTTTTTGGTCATGTGGCACTTGTATTTTGCATTCTTGACTATAGGCATTTCCTTTTCCTCCTCTACCAAGTCGAGCAACTGGTATGACTGCTTCTGTCCCATAGGCTTAGGAAAAAGAGGAGTGGGTCTCCTTGGCATTGTCTGATAGGCCCACAATACTCCAAGGAGCTCGTCCACCCACCACCCTTTGGCGTTTTCCAATTTAGTGTTCAAGTTGCGCAAGATTGTTTTGATGGTGACCACAACTAGCTCGTTTAACTGGGAGTGGGTTACCTGATCTATAAGTTTGTATAGAAGTCATTGAGGAGTTTGTTGTCAAATTGCTTAGTGTTGTCCCTCACTATAGCATATGGTACTCCAAAATGGCACACCATGTTCTTTAGGATGAAGTCCTTCACTTACTAATATGTTATTCTGGCTAAGGACTCAGCTTCCGCTCACTTTGTAAAGTGTTCAATAGCTAGGACTACAAACTTGCATTGGCCGCCACTCATGGGTGGGGGGTCTAGGATGTCAATTTCCCATTTGGAGAAAGGACAAGGACTCGTGATGGTGGTTAATTCTTTCAGTGGTTGTCTTGGCACAATGGCGAAGCATTGACATTTGTCACACTTTTTCACAAATTCTCGGGCGTCTCTAATCATGTTAGGCTAGTAATAGCCTTGTCTTACTACCTTGTAAGCTAGTGAACGCCCTCCAAAGTGGTTTTCACATACTCCCTCGTGGATCTCTCTCATAACATAGTCGGATTCCACCGGGGAGAGGTAGTAGAGTAGTTGTAGTGAGTAGCTCCTCTTATAAAGGATGTCTTACAAGATGACGTACCTTAACACCCTTAGCCTCAATTTCTTGGCTTCCATTAGGTTGTCTGGGAGAGTGCCTTTTTGAACTTAGCGAGTGCATCTACCATGGCATTATCATCTCTAGGCACATGTTGAATCTGATTGTGGTGGAACTTTTTTAACAAAGTTTGTACCACTGCTAGGTACTCTTGCATCCTTTCCTTCTTCGCCTCGAAGTTACCCTTCACTTGGTTGACTATCAGTCGAGAGTCAATGTAGACGGTGAGGTAGATGGATTGAGTTCTTCCCTCCCTCCACTAGTAGAAGACCCATCTACGTAGAGTTTTTGCATGGCACAACATCGGTGGGTATAGGCCTCGACAGTTGGACACACTCACTTAGGCACTAGGGTGAAGTTAGGTATGAGGGCACCAGGTTGAGGTGAGACCAGGAGGGCATCGGGTAATGACGACCCAAGCACTTAAGGAATAGACACCAGGGATTTGGGTGCCTTGGGCTAAGGAGCTTGGGTGCCAAG